AGAAAGAAGGAAAGAAAGACCACAATGGTGCGTTGGACTTACAGAGGGAGAGAACATATCTTGTGATACAAAGGGGAGTGGAGTGGGGCCCCCCCCCCCGGAGGGAGGCTGGGGATAATTGGGTGAGGGACACGGGGTACAAACGCAATTTGTGGTAATGGGCATGCTGCCAGTACGAATCTGGCCTTCACATCTTGGGCACAAGGGGTGATAATCAGCTCTGTATCTCATGAATATTCATAACAAATAAAAAAAAATAGTTCCTGGGCCGGCCCGGTGGTGCACTGGATAAGTGCGCCGCTTGGGAAGCACGGCGGCGCTCCCTATAAGCAACAGAAGCAAACTAATACAATACCTCATCTTCCGATTTTATTCAAATTTTGCCAATTTCCCATTGATGTCCTATGTGCCAAAAGAAAAAAAATGTTTTTCTTTGCCCAAGATTCCATCCTAGATCACAAGTTGCATTTAGTTGTTATGTCACTTTAGTCTCCTTTAATCTGGAACAATTCCTCAGTTTTTCTTTTTCATTACATTTTTGGAGGGTACAGGGTTTGTCTGATGTTTCCTCATGATTATACTCATGCATTTCTGGCAGGAATACCACAGAAGTGGTGTTGTGTCCTTCCCAGAGCACCATATCATGGTGCCTATTTATTCCATTACTGGTGATATTAATTATAATCACTAAAAGGAAGTGTTGTCTATCAAGTTTCTTCCCTATCATTAGAATCTTTTGGAGAGATACTTTGAGACTGTGTAAATATCCTGTTTTTCATCATATTTTCACCAATGAGTTTTAGCATCCATTGATGATTCTTGCCCAAAACAATTATAACTCATACAGTTATCAAGTGGAGATTTTCTAATTCTATCATTTTTTTCTACATTTGTGCTTTAGTCAGTTTTCTATCACTTAGAATATCTGAAACTTGCTAACTTATGAAGAAATAAAATTTATTTCTTACAGTCTGGGAGGCTAGGAAGTCCAAGGTCCAGGCAATGCAACAGGTGAGGGCTTTCTTCTTGGTGGGGACTCTCTAAAGAGTCCCATGATGACACAGAATATCACAGAGCAAGGATTGAGCAAGAACCCATTTCCACATGCTTTTTCCTCTCTTTATGAAGACCCCAGTCTACTTCCTAACTCATTAAACCATTAACTCATTTATCCATGAATGAATTAATCTATTCACAGTCTTTATGATGTAATCACCTCTTAAAGGCATCACTTTTCAAATACCATAATTGAGGATTAAGTTCCAATATGAGTTTGGAGGGGACGAATATTCAAACCATAGAAATTTGTAAGTTGGAATTCTACCATAGCAGTAATTCAGTTTTTAAAAGATCATTTTCTTTTTCTTTCTTTCTTTTTTTTTTATTGTGGTTTCTAATAAAAGACTTCTTAAATATCTCACTATTTCTTCTTTATACATATAAGTATTTTATAACCTCCAAGTACCTGATGAATTACTGATGTATTATTTTTCATTGCACATCCCTTGTAGATTTTCCTTATCTGGCTGGTTGCTTTGGTGAGTGCTCAGTACCTCCATCTGGGGGAGTCCTATCAGGTCCCAGAGGGCTGTGGAAGCTCTGGAAAGGACTTTGGAACCAGAGAAACCTGTGTCCAAGTTAATTTAGACTTGTACTTCCCAGCAACCCCAAGCAAATTATTGAACTTTTCATAGTCTTACTTTTATTCCTGTCTGCTGAGGTCAGTAACCATGTCTTCATTTCTTTGAAGCCCTAGTTCAGTGTATGCACAAGTAAACCTGCAGTTAGTGTCTGTTTAACTGCACTGTATCTCCTCTATATCACTAGTCCATTTTTTCTCTTTTTTATTTATTTAAAGTATCTCCTCTGTTTTTAAATCTTCTAAGAGTTTTTTTCTAAATTCCTTTGGGGACCATTCAGTTTTCAGAGGTGAAAGATTCACTATATTCCTATGCTTTAAGCTTTCCTATTTTTGCATAGATATGTTTCTACTGTAAAAAAAATATGGCTTTGTTTCTCATCCTGGGCATTTCTACATATTTATAAATAGTTCCCAGATTTCTTTTTGGCTATTTACTTCTGGTTTTACATTTCTATTTTTTCTTCATTAAAATCACACTTCGTTGTCATTGTAAATTAATAGTGCTTTAAGAGGCATGGGTGACAGGGAGAAGTGTCATTTCTGTTTGCAGGGAAGTTAATGTGGATATTTTCCTCTCTTACCATAGTGCCAAATTGAACTGTTCTGTTGTTGTTACATGGAGGCTGAATCAAAATTTCTTACCCTGCAAATTCTATTCATTACTTAGATTCAAAGAGTACACCTAAAGTTATTTAGCAACAAAAGTTGAACTAGAAGCAAGATTCCTGCTCCCCAAGCTTAACGGTTTGCTATTCAATGCTTCCTTCCTGTAAAATGGCTATGCCAGTCTTCTGGAAATAAAGCAGGAAAGACTGGATAGCAGAGGTGATGGACGCCTCAAGTAACATTCCCTAGCTCCTCTGCCTCCCTGATATCAGCCACAGCTGTAGGGACAGTTCTATGCAAGCTCAGATTTATGCTGTCTGTATCCCACCACAAGAGCAAACCTGTAGATTTTGCTTTTCTACATCAGGTTAAGGAAGCCCTCTCTGTTCTGTGCACAAATACAAGTACAATCTAGGAGGGCAGGGAGTTAACAAACCTGGGGAAACCCTCAACCAGTACAGGATGGGAGTGGTGAACAAAATGCTCCAGCCTCCTGATAGATAATCCCGGGAGGCATTCGGTATGTTTCTCAGAGGTGCTCAAGGATTAAGGAGTGGCTTCAATAATGGACCCTTATATTGACCTTTTTCTTCTTTCTTTTCTCATTCTTCCTGACCCATCGATACTGTTCCCTGGGAGCCAAAATGCTCCAGCCTCCTGATAGATAATCTAGGGAGGCATTCGGTATGTTTCTCAGAGGTGCTCAAGGATTAAGGAGTGGCTTCAATAATGGACCCTTATGTTGACCTTTTTCTTCTTTCTTTTCTCATTCTTCCTGACCCATCGATACTGTTCCCTGGGAGCACTTCCCAAATAAAGTACCTGCACCCAAATCTTTGTCCCAGGCTCAAACTAAGCCAAAATATCCACTCAACAAATATTTACTAAGTGACTGTGCTAGGCACTGAGTTAAAATACCTATGAGATAAAGTTTGTAGTGCCTGCCCTGAAGTGTATAATGAGGAGACAAACAAGTAAACAATTACCAACCAACCGACCAACAAAAGCAACCATACAATTACAACGTATCATTAGAGATGCTATGCTAGGGGCAACAATGTGAAGACATGGAGAAGTCACCTACTCCATCTGCTTGGGGGAGGGGCTTCCTGTATTGCTTGAGCTGATGGATAGAATGTGGATCAAATAAATACAGGCATAATGACTCTATAGAATACAAATGTCAACTGAAAATTCAGTTTATATCTTTGTATGCTATGTGTAAGAGTTATACTCCGCTCTGTTGTGGTATATAGTACATGACATGATTTTAGTTAGTCCATGGATGGAGACAAACTTTTTTGTAGTTATGTATGTTATGTGTATGAGAATAAAAACAAGGAGCAGGACAGACTTGATTTAACAGAATATTATGGTTTAGGATGAGGCTGAATTTTTTTAATGAGTTGAAATTAGCTTTAAAGAAAAATATTGAAAAGGGCTGGCCCATGGCTCACTTGAGAGAGTGCGGTGCTAATAACACCAAGGCCATATAGGGATGACCGGTTTGCTCATCGGCTGAGCGTGGCGCTGACAACACCAAGCCAAGGGTTAAGATCCCCTTACTGGTCATCTTTATATGGGGAAAAAAGAAAAAATATATTGAAAGAATAATAATACCTGGGTGCATGCAAATTGGCAAAGATCATGCAGATGGTATGCAGACTACTGAAGTTTGGGAAATAGTATTCTAGTAGAAGGAATATCTAAAATAAAATTCATGCCTTCCAGGAACTCAAGTTTGTTAAGGAACACAGACCCATAAGCAAGGGTGATAAGTGCTACAACAAATTTAGAAACCAAGTCCAAGAGGAAGATAGGAAAGCAGTGAGGAGCAAAGTGAAGGAGAGGCTGTCAGCTACAAAACCAGTTGGAAGCCTATATTGCTCTAGTCCAGAGGAGACGTAATAAGAGCCTGAATTAGGTAGTGGCTACAGAAATGGAAGAAAGACAACTAATGTAACAGGCTCATTGCAACCATCCTGTGAAAACTTTACCGGTTATGAGCAGCAAGCACGAAAGTGAAACCTGTCCAAGTCAAGGGCAGTACCGTACACACACTCAATGGAGTAGGAGAACTCGATCAGAAAATATGAACGTACTTTCATTTGGCTTTAGTTAGGAGAGTATTTTAGTGTGAAATATTCAGCTATTTGCCCCCATTTTTTCCCATTTGACTCAGAAGCGCTTTACATTTATTGACTCCTCTATTCTCATTAACCCTTATTTTACAGACTGGGAATCCGAAACATAAGATTAAGTAATTGCCCGAGGTAATGCAGCTCATAAGCGAAGTAACATGGATTAAACCCAGGCGTTCTATCTATTCTTAACACTACACCAGAATAAATGGGTTGGGCACAGACGCTAAAGGAGGTCACACTTCAGCGTTGGATCGTGAAACAATCACTCTCATTGGTGACAGAAGACCTGGTTCTGAGATCACAGTTTCTCCACCTATAAAATGGAGATAACAACGCTAGGAGTTTGGTGCAAAGAGTGAGATATTGCAAGTGAACTCCAAACTATGTATGTGGCTCCACGTTATAGTTTTCCGGAATATGAACACACAGAGCCGTAAACTACAATGTATCTGTCTCTAGAGCTTGTTGCGCCAGAGCAGAGACTCCGCCCCTGAGGCTCCGCCCACCTCGAGCTGCAGGTGGGGCCGACAGACCTTCTTTGCGCATGCGGAAGCCGCTGCCAGCTCCCACCTCTAACCCAGGCTGAGAGTAGCTGTTGTTTCTGAAAGGACGATTCGTAAGGAGGCCCCTGGTGCGGTGCCCTCTTGCTCTCCCTTCTGCGCGCCCTTCCCGTACTTAAGTTGAGTCCAGAGCGTGGTCCGTCCCCGTCTACCTGGCTGACTTTCTGCAGAGGTGCCTGCCGTTGACCCAGTAGTTGGCTGTCGAAAGTGCCGGCCCCCGCGCCGGCGCCGGCAGTAGCCGGGTGGGAAGGCTCAAGATGGCGTGCCTGCTGGAGACCCCAATCCGCATGAGCGTCCTCTCGGTGAGTGAGCTGCCGCGGCCAGCCGCCCGCCCGGGAGCACCGGCCGGCCTGCAGCATTCCCTTCGGCGCGGTGTGCTTCCTGGGCAACACCCCCTGAGGTGGCCTCCGGCTCAGTGTAGGGCCGGGGCGTGAGGGAGGGTGGACGGCCGGGAGAGACGGGACCCCGGCCGAGCCAGAGACGTCTCCGACTCCGGCTGCTCCCACCGGTGCGGGTTCCCAGGATGGCGTCTGGCAGGCGGGCTGGTCGGGCGTACAGGCAGCTGGCCCGGCGGCGCGGCTTGGGCTTTGCCAAGCGTTTCCCGGAGCCTTTCTCTTAGCGATGCCGCTTCCCTGGCTCCAAACCCTCCGCCCTGTGAGGCGCCGGGCTTGCCGCCGGCCTGGGAACGAGCTCCCCAGGGATTTGGCAAGAAGCGGTGCAGGTTCCTTGGCCCCCACGGCCTCAGAGCTGCCGGGCCAGATCTGTGTGGTTTCTGTCGCGTCCCAGCACCTGAGCAGCGGTTGGAGCTGCTTGCTTCTTGGCATTGGAGATTTCGTATCAGCTGCAACTCTTCCTAGTATATGTGGGTTTTTAAAAGCTGCTTTTCTCCGCTCTGCTCAGGAGGTCGCGGCTCTGAGTCTGAAGGAATTACATGTTCCCTGTGCCTGGTATTCCTTTTTTTCCTTCAAGGGAAGTCAAACATTGAAGAAGAAGAAGAGGAAGAAGAAGAAAAAGAAGTCAGATTTGCCCATTATTGAAAGAAGGGAACGTATTGAATGCCAGGAAGTAGTACCTCGGGTTTTTTTAAGTTTTATTTAAACGACTATGACTTTCGACTTTCACCTTTCACTGTGTTGCTCTTGAAAGGACCAGTAGTGAAAGTTACTGGGAGATAACTTCGTAGGATTTTGCGACCAATTCGAACTCTCTGATTCTGAGAGTGGTCAGTGTACCAGTGGTCCATCTGCTGTGTTGTAAACCAGCAGGCAGACTGACTGACCATCTTTTAGACTTGTGGAAGCTAGTCTGATACTAAGAGGATCGCGTCCCAGCACCTGAGCAGCGGTTGGAGCTGCTTGCTTCTTGGCATTGGAGATTTCATATCAGCTGCAACTCTTCCTAGTATATGTGGGTTTTTAAAAGCTGCTTTTCTCCGCTCTGCTCAGGAGGTCGCGGCTCTGAGTCTGAAGGAATTACATGTTCCCTGTGCCTGGTATTCCTTTTTTTCCTTCAAGGGAAGTCAAACATTGAAGAAGAAGAAGAGGAAGAAGAAGAAAAAGAAGTCAGATTTGCCCATTATTGAAAGAAGGGAACGTATTGAATGCCAGGAAGTAGTACCTCGGGTTTTTTTAAGTTTTATTTAAACGACTATGACTTTCGACTTTCACCTTTCACTGTGTTGCTCTTGAAAGGACCAGTAGTGAAAGTTACTGGGAGATAACTTCGTAGGATTTTGCGACCAATTCGAACTCTCTGATTCTGAGAGTGGTCAGTGTACCAGTGGTCCATCTGCTGTGTTGTAAACCAGCAGGCAGACTGACTGACCATCTTTTAGACTTGTGGAAGCTAGTCTGATACTAAGAGGGTAGTTGGATTATAGATGATTTGTCGGGCTCCTAGAGTCTAATAACTTCAACGGGTTTCTTTTCTCCTACAGACACAACTATCTGAAAGCACTTAAGACATTTCCTTATGAGTCAGGGTTAGAACCATGTGGCAGACTGCCGCTTTAAAAAAGCTTAAGTTGATAATACAAAAATAATTTAATTTGGGGAGGCTGTCAACAAATTTGTTTTCCGATCCATTTTAGCAGCCCTTTTTCCTATTTTCTTAGTTGCTCTTTAAAAATACTGGTCACTTGAGTTAAATCAGTTTAGTCCATTACTCCACCTCTGACTGTAATGTGCAGAAATGTTTTATGGGACAGCAGGCGAATGATTTTTCACTCATTAAAAAGTATTGGATTGTTTTCAGTTCTCGGTTAATTATGTCACTTAGATTTCAGGTACCCTTCGGTTCACCTGAAGCTTCTTTATTTTTTGTACATAGTAAACTTCTATAGTGCATACGATCAAAAACTCTCCTTTATTTCACTTCCTCAGTAAATAATATTTCCTGCTTATTTTATTCAAAAACTTCTTGAAGAGTATTTTCTCCTTCTAGTTAGGATTTATTTCAGCCATAGTCTCATTGGGAACTTATGTTTTTAAAGGTTTTCACAGACCCAAAGTCTGGTCTGTCAATTCTTCAGTCCTAGAGCCTTGGGAAAACAGAGCTTTGGATACATGACTTAAAGTATCTAAACTCACTGATTTTACTAATTTAAAGTGAAAGCTGTACCTTTCAACGTACTACCCAGGGCACCACTTTTTGGAATACAGGGTGCAGTTGTATTAGAAATATTAGAAATTATCTTGAACGGTTGATTTCTTTCATCAGCTACTCATTACTTACAGTGTGCCAGTTATGTGCAGAGCCAGTTATGTGTTGTGTATTTTAGGGAATGCAAGGATGAGATCAGAAATGCTCTCGAGGAGCTCATAGTCTGTATAACTCTATAGCTTGATAAACATAATTTGAGCAAGAGGGAAATCAAATTGTTTTAAAAGATTTCCATCTAAGTCCCTTTATACCTTTTTTTTAAATTGAAACATAATTACTTACACATATTTGTGTGGTAAAGAGATGACTCAGTACTTGTGTACAATGTGTGATGATCCTTTATACCTTCTCTCTGAGAGATGTCATTCACTCTCCTAACCTTAACTGATCCTTTCACACATCTACATTGCCAGCCCTGACTTTTCTTCCGTATCTAGTCTCATATCTTCAGTTGTGTGATGTCACCCATCACTTTCAACAAAGCACATTCCTTCTCCTAAGAGGACTTAGTTATGATGTTCCAATTTCTGTTCATGGTACTATCTTTCACTGATCACTCACCATTAAAGCTTCTGAATCATCGATTCTTCTCCCTTTCACTCCCCTATATCTAATCAGTTGCTAAGATATTGTTGCTTCTTTACTGTTAGTGTTTCTCACATCTTTCTGTTCCCATGGCCACCCTCATTCAGAACCTTATTGTTTTGTACCTGCAATACTACAGTGTCCTTTTAATTATTTTTACTGCCTCTTGTGTCTTACCCTTCCAGTTCAAGTGCATTTCCGCATTACTTTTCCTAAAGAACACTTTAGACAGCCACTCCTCTTTAGTGGGTTCCTTTTGCTGAAAGGCTTAAGTTTATACTCAGCCTTGCATTTAAGATTCTTTATCCTCTGCATGAACCTTCTATCCATATAAACTGGCTTTTTCAGGCTGAAGTAATATTGGGTCCTTTCAAACCCCAGTAACTCTTACTGTCTGTCTGTTCATTTGCGTGTGTGAATTATAGCTTTGTATGGATTTATTCCATACATACATTTTGAGCTTCTGTCATTTGCCAAGCTTGGCACTGGGTTTGGGAATACAGTGGTGAGCTATGTAGACCAGAAGAAGTGACACTGAGCTGAGAGTTCAAGGATGAGTAAGAATTAACTTGAAAAAGTGACAAGAGAAGAGCATTCCAAGCAAAGGGAACTGCTTTGGCAGAGGCTCTGGGACTTTAATAATTATTCTATCTTATCTTCTTAGACGGTAAATTAATTCAAAAGTAAGTGCTTGGGGCCGGCCCGGTGGCGCACTGGATAGTGCGCCGCTTGGGAAGCGCGGCGGCGCTCCCGCCCGAGGGTTCGGATCCCACATGCAGACCGGTTCCCACTCACTGGCTGAGCGAGGCGCGGGAGCGGCGCCGAGGGTTGCAGTCCCATTGCCGAGGGTTGCAGTCCCGTTGCCGGTCCCCGGTCCGGTGCGGGGGCGACACTGAGGGTTGTGCCGGTCCCGGTCCAGTGCGGGGGCGACACTGAGGGTTGCGATCCGTTGCCGGACAAGGAAAAAGACAAAAGACAAAAAAAAAAAAAAAAAAAGAAGTAAGTGCTTGACCTTTTCATATTTTTTTTGTTTGGTGGCTGGATGATACAGGGATCAAACCCCTTTTTTTCTTTTTAATCCCACTATTACTTGTAACACTATGTCTTGCAAATACTAGCTATTCAATAAGTGTTTAATTGAAATATCTATTTTGAGGAGTTGGACATACTCTTCAGCTCTCTTTCTAGATTGTACCTTGACCTGTCTGGTTTGCATTTAGCATTACAACGTAACCTTTTTCAGCAAATTCATAAATTCCTACCATGTTTTCCAAACATTTGAGTTATTTTACATTAATCACATTTTTTAAACTTTTTATTTTAAAATAATTGTAGATTCACAGTAAGTTACAAAGTTACAAAGATAGTACAGGGAGGTCCCTGTGTATACTTCACCTAGTTTCCCCCATTGGTTACATCTTACATAATTATGGTGATACTGATATTGGTATAAGCATGTTACATCTTACATAATTACAGTGATTTGGGTTTTTGTTCGTTTGTTTTTGTTTTTTTGTGGCTGATTGTACTGGAATCCAAACCCGTGCGTGACCTTGGTTTTATAAGGCTGGGCTCTAACCAACTAAGCTAACTCGCTAGCCCCCTAATTATGGGGATACTGATATTGGTATAAGTCTGTGTATGTTTCCGTATCATTTTATTACATGTGTGTATTCGGGTAACTACCACCACAGTCAAGATACAGAACTATTCTGTCATCACAAAGTTCTCCCTCATGCTACCTCTTTATAATCACACCTACATACTCTTCTTCTTCACCGCCACTATCCCTAAGCCCTGACAACCACTAATCTATTCTCCATCTCTGTAATTTTGTCATTTTCTATAGTGTTACGTAAATGGAATCTTATAGTATGTGACGTTTTGAGATTGGCTTTTGTCACTCAGCATAATGCTTTTGAGATCCAGCCAAGTTGTTGCATGTATCAGTAGTTTGTTCCTTTTTATTGCTAAGTAGTATTCTGTGATATAGATGTACCACAGTTTAACTATTTACCTGTTGGACATTTTAGTTGTTTCCAGTTTGGGGCTATTA